GTGACACTGAGGGTTGCGATCCGTTGCCGGTCACGACAAAAAGGAAAAAAAAAAAAATCACCTGTGGTTTACTTGTTTTTCCATATATGTACTGGTTTTTTCCTAGTCATTTCCTCTTATTTCTCTCTGATAAGTTCCTTTATGATAATATGGCTGGGAAGAATTAGTGAAGCCTGTATAGGAAACTTTACTTCATCAATTTTCCCTTCTACATTTCTAATATAGTCATCCCAGCACAATACTTTTAAAAGACAGTGCTATCTTTGTGACCCTCTTCAATTTATTTCCCATGGTGCTGGATATTTTCTTGATTTACTTGCACTTTAAAACTATTCTGAAGTATCTTTATCTTACTGACGTTTTCAAACTTCTTATTATAAATATTTTATACACATAGAAAAAATGCAAGTATCAATCAAAAGTCAATTTTCACAAATTAAACACATTTATGTAATCAGCAACCAAATTAAGAAATAGGCTGTCACGAGCACCCTTGTTACTGAGTTTTGCAAGTATCAATCAAAAGTCAATTTTCACAAATTAAACACGTTTATGTAATCAGCAACCAAATTAAGAAATAGGCTGTCACGAGCACCCTTGTTACTGAGTTTTATTTGCTTCCGTGTGTGTGTGTGTGTGTGTGTGTGTGTGTGTGTGTCATCTCCCTTCTCCTTAAGAGCGAATTCTTTTGTATTTAGTTCCTTTCTTCTAAGTAGCAATCTATCTACAGCTTGATAAAAGTGCTTCATAAATACATAGCCATTTGTTTTTTAGAAGACCTTTCCTATTGTTGGAGAGTAATATAAACTTTCTTTAATATTTGTTTTCCTTCTGCCGTCTCCCTCCCTTTTAAAATTTCAGGCCGTGATTTCCTTTCATCATTGGTCCAAAAGTACTTATTCACTTAGAAATGGTTGCCTTTTTTTGCAGTGTGTAAATTCAAGGCTCACAAAAGATGTGCAGTGAGGGCAACAAATAACTGCAAATGGACCACCCTGGCCTCCATCGGGAAGGACATCATAGAGGATGAAGACGGAGTAAGTGTCTGTCTGTCTGCAATCTCTGCCTGTACCTCCTTTCTTATCTTCTGCCAAATGATAGAGATTAAGTGGGAGTGATCATTATTAGGATTAAATGGAAGGTTTTCATTAATTATGAATTTTTATTTTTAATCTAATCCTTCATAGCTTTCTTCAGCTCTAGATTTTGAGAAAAATCTGTTGTGAATAGGGCTTGGGAGTGGCTGTTGTGCTGAGCTGGTGTTGCAGACCCTTATCTGAAAAGCTCTGAGCTATTTAGAGTTTAGCTCAGACTTTCACTCTTCAGACTTTGGGACATCCTCTCAACTTAGCCCCAACCTTCACAACTTGCCTGCATTTCACCTTGCTTACGAGTCTATAACAGCACCTAGGATCACTTAATCACGATCCCTTCACATGCCTTTCTCCTCAGCTAGACTTCCACGTGAGTCCCAAGGGCAGGGCTTTTGTCTTGTCTTTGTAGCCTATAGTGTTCAGGCATAACAGACGCTCAGTAAATGTGGCTAAATGAGTGAATGTCACAGATGGTACACATTATGGATTCCATAGAGTAAGAAGGCATTCAGTGTCTTCCTGCAGGTAAGAATGGTGTCCTCCCCGCTCTCTTCCTGCTCCCCAGGTCGCTATGCCTCACCAGTGGCTCGAGGGCAACTTGCCTGTGAGTGCCAAGTGTGCTGTCTGCGACAAGACCTGTGGCAGTGTTCTCCGTCTGCAAGATTGGAAATGCCTTTGGTGTAAAACGATGGTGAGGGTTTTGGAATTGTTTCATCCTTTTTAATTAGCATCTCTCTCTAACTTTGTCAGTTATATGGTTTAGAGGCAAAACAAAGAATTTACAACAGACCAGAGCCTGGTAGCACACATACCCCATTGTGACATTCTTCTTTTTTAAAACTGTATTACTTCCAGTTTAGTCACTTTTTCCAATGCCCTTTTTGTAATACTCTCGTTCATATATTGTCTATGTCTCAGGATCTCTTTCCCACAGTTTTAATGTTTTTCATTTTGCTTTAAACTGTATTACTTCCAGTTTAGTCACTTTTTCCAATGCCCTTTTTGTAATACTCTCATTCATATATTGTCTATGTCTCAGGATCTCTTTCCCACAGTTTTAATGTTTTTCATTTTGCTTTAGCTTCACTTAGTGGTTTTGCTATTTTCAGGCCTGTTTTATCGTCTGTCGCACACAGAAAGCTCTTCTCTGTGTGCCACCAAATTTTGGTTTACATGCAAAATATGATTTTGCTGCCACCCCGTGTATGTTCTCTGACAGAACATTGAGGTTGATAGGTCATGCACTGATGTAATTTAAATTATGTAAGTTTATAACGTATGAATAAATAAATATTTTAAAACGTTTTTGCATGTGCAAGAAAGGGTAGAAAGCACACACAGCGTAATGTGGAGCTGGCCGCAGGGCAGGTCTCATTTATGCCGGACAGTGAGAACTGGCCTCTGGACCATGTGAGGGCAGTCAGAGTAGGAAGGGGGCCATGCAGACAAGGAGTGTGGCTGGAGGACCGCAGGACCAGGAGGCTGTAGCTGTGAGTGCTCATCTGAACACTGGGTGATGCTGTCCTTTGATGGCGGTGATTGCCTTGTATGGGGCTAATTTGCTTGGTGGTGTTTTGAGTCTTAAAGTGTTTTAAAGTTGCTGGCCCAAATTTGTCAGCTAGTCCCAAATAAAAAAAATGTGCAAAAAACTTTGCTTTTGGTAAATATGGTATAGATCAGCAAATATAAGAGGTGTGAGTATAATGTGTTGATTTCCTAATCATGAGATTGACTCCATAGGCCACTGAAGAAAATAAGTCCTACAATATTTTAGTGAGGCCTGATGGGTACACTGTGTTTCCTTTTAATTTTTAAATTATACATGTTTCTCTTTGTCTTCATGCTTTGGTTATTCTTCATCACTTGCCTTTTATTAGCCATAGGGGTGTTACTTTTTGTTTCTCTTATCCCATTTAATATAGTCTATTAATTGTAATATATACTGTAATATAGACTGTAATAGGTGTCTCTCTTTGGAATCTTAGTGCTGTCCTAACCACTAAAACTCTCTTACGCCATTCCTTGTTTTAAAGTAGTGCTACCCATAAATAAAATTTTAAATCATCATCCTACCTAAGGTTTCATTTGGGGGGGGGGGCAAGCACTGATAGCATTTCCTGCTATTTTTATTAGTCTGTACATTTATTAAAGTCTATTTATCTACTTCTAGAGCTTTAGCTGTTTATTTTTAACTTTTTAGAAAGACATATTGTGTGTGATGAATTATTTTAGAAAAGATTCATATAAGTTGTCTTTATCTGCAATATATATGTCTGCTTTTACTGTCAGTAGTTTTTAAACTCTACTAACTTTAACAGTAGGAGTTAATTAGGTTTTTTACTTGCTCGTTGTACTCATCCCCAACTTAAAAAAAAATTCGCAAATAGAGTAGCAGTATTATTACAGGTGTTACAAGAGGGCATTCTGGAATGCCTTGTCCCCTTTTTCCCTGGTAAACTCAAACCTCCTCTTAGTTGTGACATCATTCCTGCCCTGCCCTGTGTAAGTTAGACATGCTTGCACTTCCTATGTGCTATCATTGATCTGTTTTCATATTATTTTGCCTTTAAGCAGCAGGCTATCTAGTGCCTGAAATATAGTCAGCTGGTAAAAAAGAAAACAAAACAAAACAAATAAAAAGCCCATAGTGCCACACGCTAATGGGCCAGCTCAGTTTTTCCAGTTGTTGTCCAGTCTCTGGTTGCAGTTTTACCTCTTCTGTAAAAATAGTGAAGATATGAAGAAACAATTTTGTCTTTTACTTTGCTTTTTTATTTTTCTGGTGGCTGGCCCATATGGGGATCCAAACCCGTGACCTTGGTGTTATAAGGCTGTGCTCTAACCAATTGAGCTAACTGGCGAGCCCTGTATTTTTATTTAGCATTATTGTAAGTCTTTCTGGTTTGCTCCATAATTCTCATACATTTTTTAAATAACTTTTAAAACTGTTCATGCAAGTTTTTCTAAAATGCATTTGGATTGTTAATTATTGTAAATCATAATAGGAAACTGTCCAAAAACAGGTCATCTGCAGAATAAGGATCACTGTTCAATTTCAGTTATTCTCTCCAAAAGTTTTGATAAATTCAAGTTTAATTAGTATGCAAGTTTTCTAGAAAAGCTAATGAAATAAAGCCATATTAAATAAGTGCTTTATGAAATGTCTGCTTTTACTAATTAAAACATTTAAAATGCTGTCTAGCCAAATACACAAAGTATTCTAAATTGCCAGTGTTCTAATTAATGAGTAATCTCTGCTTTTGTTGTTAGTAGTATTTTGAGTGACTTTGAAACTTTCTCAGTTTTTTCCAAAACACATTTACTGAGTGGCTATGATGTGCATCACTTTTCTTTTACTTACAGAACAGCAGTCTAACTAAGGATATAGGCATGGATGGACTTGTAACTATAATACTATGAAAATGTTGTAAAATAAATGTGAATAGAAAATTATAGGATCACTGCAGAAAGAGCAGGCACATTACAGATTTTATTTTTAGTTTCATTAAATTCTATAAGAATTTTTGTGAGGTAGATGTCATCAGTTTATTTTATGGACAGTGACATTGACATACTGGTTAGCTTCCCTACTTTCTTTCTCCCTTCCTTTCTCTTTCCTTCCCTTCATCTGTGCCCTCTCTCTTCTCTTCCTCTCTCCTTGCCTTCACCAGGCATCCATTGATTATATACTACTTGCTTGAGACAATCACAAAAATAGACTGCATAGACCAAAATCAAATTTCCATCCCTGAAATGCTTAGTTTCTTAAAAGTGTAAATATTGTGCCATTAAAGTAATTTATGAATTATTGATCTTTTTGTGATGTAGTTGATGCTAAATTATCAATTCCTTAGATGTAATTTATAACATAGCAAAACATTAATTTGTTTTATGATTCTTGAAGGTTTATTTGTTTGTTATTAGGTACACACTGCCTGCAAAGATTTATACCATCCTATATGTCCACTTGGTCAGTGTAAAGTATCTATCATACCTCCAATTGCACTTAACAGCACTGATTCTGATGGTATGTACTAGGAGTGTAAGTATGTATATTTCTGGTACCTTTAATGTTGATATGTATGTTTATTTTCTTAAAATATTTAAAGCTGTAACTTGTTATTCTGGTCAGTTTTTATATAATAATTACATTTTAATTGCTGAATAGTATATTTAACTTTTAAAAGAACATTTTAAATGAAAGTTTTAACATAATTGTTAGTACAGTGGTTAAACTTAATATTTAACTTTTAAAAGAACATTTTAAATGAAAGTTTTAACATAATTGTTAGTACAGTGGTGAAATTACTGTGTAAGACTTTTAGATTTTATGTTTCAGTAAATAAAATAAGATCATTATTCTGTACTGAAAGCCAGTATGAAAAGGTTAATTTTTATTCATTTAATTTTGGGGGGGTGGGGGACAGCTGGCCAATACAGGGATCTGAACCCTTGACCTTGGCGTTATAGCATTATGCTCTAACCAATTGAGCTTTTTTTCCCCTCCATAATTGAAACTGCCCATTAGCATGGCTGTTTTTTTGTTTTCCAATTTTTTCCAAAACAGTAATACATTGAACTTTTAGAAAACTAGAGGTGGAAAAGGGGGGGTGGAGAGAGGGGGGCTAATGAGGAATTGGTCAACAGACACAAAGTATGATTGTGTATTGTAATGATGAATAAGCTAACTATCCTGATCTAACCATCACACATTGTACACAATTATTGCAAAGCAACATGGTACCCCAAATGTATTTATAGTAAATTATCTAAAAAATAAAAAAGAAAGAAATTTAATTTCTTAAAAAAAAGAAAAAAAAAAGCATGGCTGTTATTAAAATCTGTTTTCCTATAATTTCATTGTAGGAATTTACATTCCTATAAATGCATTAACTTTTTCCAAAATCTAACAAGTTACTTATAAGTTCTGAGGAACCTCTTTGCAACCCTGGTTTTGAGAAAGCATATTAATAACTTCCTTCTGAGCAAACCATATTACAAAAGGCTTACCATATACTGTCATTAATTAATATCTTGCATTGATATGGTACTTTATGCTTTTCAAACTTTTTATATAAATTATGCCAATTGATATCTTAGATATAATAATATAAACCTCAAAATTTGTGTTTTTTAACCTGTGCTATGAACAGTCCTGCCTGAGCACCACCCCCCACAAAGCCCTGATATATCAAGGTTCTTTTGTTTATTATAAATTTTAAAATATTTCTCTAGCACCAGCAAGGAGCAGTTAAAATATTTTAAAATACTGAATGTGAACATATCTTTCACAAATGTGAATGTATAGACTGTGATTAGTTTTTCTTGTACTTAAGTATGTTTAAGGCAGGTGGTATATCTCAAATTATGTGATTAATACTTTTACTCTCTTTGGTATGATTTTTTCATTGTAGAGCATATTTTTAAAAGATAAGTTGTACATTCTTAGTATGTAAACAGTAAACCTATCTTCATTTTGGGAGCTAAATTATAACTTAATATTCCAGTAATAAACAAGGTTCTTTATTTTTATGAATTTCTTCTTTTCTCTGAATGTTTGTTAAAAATTTAAAAGAGAAAGATGTACATATTGATTTTGTGCTGTTTTGTTTTTTTTTTTTACAGGTTTCTGTAGAGCAACATTTTCATTCTGTGTTAGTCCTTTGTTGGTTTTTGTCAATTCTAAGAGTGGAGATAATCAGGGAGTAAAGTTCCTTCGTCGTTTTAAACAGTTGCTTAATCCAGCTCAGGTGTTTGATTTAATGAATGGAGGTCCGCATTTAGGGTAATTATTGATAAATCTTACTTGAATGAAATGTAGCACTAGGCATGAAATGCATCTGGCTTCTCAGCTTATGAAAATTATGGATTTCTCTAGACATCTCTAGGATCTTCTCAATCCTCCCTTTTATAAAGCTGTAATAGTTTTAACACAGCCTTTTTGATAGTTATAAAATTTCCTTATATAAATTCCAAAATTTATATTGAAATTTCCAAATTCCAAAATCTGTTTAGCAGATGTCTTAGGATATATCCTACATCAAACAATACTAACAGTTCATTTAGCTCCAAGAGAGATCAACTTGCATAAATATAGAAATACAAAATAATATTAGAAAATGATTTGCATGGAAGGCTAATATTGATTTATATGTAAAATGAATAATCAATTATTTAACCAAAATACAGGTTCTATCATGGATCTTAAGGACAGTTCTTCATGGATTTTAGACTCAGTTCACATTAAAAAAACAAATACTTTTGTTGATTGTTCTTTTCAGCTTTCTGGAATGTCATATAACTTAAAATCTGAACAAAAAAAATAACTAAATAGTATTTTCATTGAGGGAAAATATGCCTTGAGGCACTTTTAATATATTTTTTAGTGTGTGTATCTGCTTTTTCTTAAGAGGTGATAGTGTGTCTTTTGAACTGGGGGCTTCAATCTCTGTGATTTGCTTATGCCAACTCAGCTTTTCTCTTGGGTTCGCCTGTTACCTCAAAGCATGAACACAGAAGTAGAAATGGGGGTTTTAGATACCAGTGCCAGAAAAGACATTTTTTTTTTTCTTTTTTTATCCTTTTTGAGACCGGCCGCACCGCGCTCAGCCAGTGAGCGCACTGGTCATCCCTATATAGGCTTTTTTTATCCTTTTTGAGACCGGCCGCACCGCGCTCAGCCAGTGAGCGCACCGGTCATCCCTATATAGGATCCGAACCCGTGGCGGGAGCGCTGCTGTGCTCCCAGCACCGCACTCTCCCGAGCGCGCCACAGGCTCGGCCCAGAAAAGACATTTTGTGTTTTATAATTTGACACTTCCTCTGTCTTCTCTATTTCTCTCTTCTGTCTCTCTTTGTGCCTCTTTTCACTTTTGTCCCTGTTCCCATTGCCTTTTTCTTGCTAAGTCTCAGGCCCTCCTTGTCAAGTGGCTGTTGTTTTCTTCATTTATACCCAACTTCTTCCTTATCTACTTTCACATCCCTTCCTTTCCTCTATTTGGGTCCTAGACTTTTCTCATCTAGCCTCCCTTTTTGCCTTCTGTCTCTTCCATTCTTGAGTAATTTTGTTTCCCTTTCTTTTTTTTTTTTTCCTTTTTGTCTTTTTTCGTGTCCGGCAACGGATCGCAACCCTCAGTGTCGCACCCGCACCTCGCTCAGCCAGTGAGCGGGAACCCGTCTGTATGTGGGATCCGAACCCTTGGCGGGAGCACCGCCGCACCCCCAAGCGGCGCACTGTAGCAGTGCGCCACTGGGCCGGCCCTTGTTTTCCTTTCTAACACGTCTATTTTATAATCCTTCATAGTTACATTATCTTATATTCTTGATCTTTTTTTCCCATTCATTCTCTAAGATTCCAAGGATCTCTATTTGTTTTTTGTGTTTTTTTTTGGGGGGGGGGTTTACAGATTTTTTAAAACAGTTACAACATTTTAAAAGTAATAACATCTCTTACAGTAAAAGGTAGAGCCTGCTGGCTGTTCTTAAAAAAAAAAATGTATTCTCCGGATGAATGTGCCTGTCCCTCAGTTTTCTTCCCATGTTGTCAGAAAGCATTATACACTCTCTGCCTCATGCAATGTCAAGCAAGCAAGACAGACAAGGAATGTGATTGAATGTAAAGCAAGTAACAGCTCGCATCAAGCTCCCCAAGCCTTCTTCCCTGACTTACTTCCAGTGCTGGATTGTGCTGCTAACCATTATGAAAATGAGAAGCACAGTGATACCTAATTTTCCTTCTCTGCCCCTTTCCCAGAAAGAAAGCCTCATGATGTGTTTGTACTCTTAGATGTTAAATTTTTTTTAGGCTTCCCATGCCAGCTGTAAGCTTTTGCAGCTGAAAAGTGCATTGCAGTTTTCAAAAATCCCATGTAAGTACCTACCACACGACCTGTTGATTCATCCAGGGAGGACATTCTCTAAGGAAAGCTGTATTTGTGAAACTTCTTGAGATTGTCCATATAATATGGTTTTTCAGATTTTCCACAATATGTGAGGTATACAGAGGTACATGCAGGAGATGGCATATGTCAAAAGTTGAGATGAAGGAAGATAGATGTAAAAGGATTGGACTGAGAATAGCAGACGAGGAGGAGGAAAAAGCAGGTTGAGAGTACTAAAAGCCATGCATGGGCAAGGTGTGCAGGTTTCTTTAGGAACTGTCTCAGTTCCCCTCATTAGCATCAGAGCCCCAGGTTCCCCACCCCTGGTTTGTAATTTTTAGGGAAATAACATATCCTTGTAATGGAAAGAGAAAAACCACTACTTTCACCATATCTGTTACTTTACCTTTAGTTCCCTTTCTTTGTTTCTGCTTTTTTTGTCTTCTCAGTACTCACTCCCCTTTCCTCCTAATTTTATCTCCCTTTCTTGTAATTCCTTTTCCTTTTTATGATTCAGAAGTCTTCTTGAATTAAAAATTGCACTCAAATTTATTTTTATAGTATAATTAATATGTAAGTAGGAGTTCTTGTATTTAATCTGAAAATGAGTACCAGTAAATACTGAATAACAAAAAATTGGGAAAAGTGATTTTTATTTATTTATACTAAAATAAAATACTTTTTACTTTCAGTTTAAGATTATTTCAGAAGTTTGACAATTTCCGGATTCTTGTTTGTGGAGGAGATGGAAGTGTAGGTTGGGTTTTGTCAGAAATTGATAAGCTCAACTTGAATAAACAGGCAAGTGCTAATTCTTTTTATTGCTAGTTAACATGAATGCATATTAGCATTTACCAGAGAATTGCAGAAATGTTATAGTTCCTATTTCCCAACTTGTCTGAAAGTTTCAGTCTGTGTATTGTGATCTCTTTTAGTGTCAGCTGGGAGTATTGCCTTTGGGGACAGGAAATGACCTTGCTCGGGTTCTTGGCTGGGGAGGTTCATATGACGATGACACCCAACTTCCTCAGATACTAGAGAAGCTGGAACGAGCCAGCACCAAAATGTTGGACAGGTAAAAGTGAATTCTCTTCTAAAGCTGGATTGCAAATGGCATACTGAATCATTTTTTGATAACTTAAATTTTACCAACTATAAAATGATCTTTTCCACTGTTTCATCCCTGAGATGGACAGCAGGGTAGACACTCAATAAAGATGTTTTTTGAGTGAATGAATGAATTGTAAAAAAAACTGAAAAAACTAGTCTAATGAATCAATTATTATTATTATTTTTTGTCCTTTTTGAGACTGGCCGCACCGTGCTCAGCCAGTGAGCACTGTGAGCGCACCGGTCATCCCTATATAGGATCTGAATCTGTGGCGGGAGTGCTACTGCGCTCCCAGCGCCGCACTCTCCCGAGTGCGCCACGGGCTTGGCCCATGAACCCATTATTTTAATCATAGATGATATATTAATACTAATTACTTTTAAGTACTATTCAGGTTGGAAAGTTAAAATAGTTAATTTTGTAGGGGGATTTTGGTTACTATAACAGTAGGGTCTCTCATCTTGTGGTTTGACAAAAGCTAAGAAAGACATATAAACTTCAGATTTGCTAGAATATCTCTTCTTAATCATACATATTAAGAATGAATTGACCAAACAAAGAACTAAATATTTTAAAAGATAAATAATCCTTTCCCAGGCACAGGGAAGTACAAGTATTAGCAAGTACAGCATAGCTTCATACGAAGGAACTATTGTACCTTGATCACATCTCTTAACTGCTTTCTCTCTGAATGCCCTATGTTTGAGAAAGAAATTCCAATGTGTGGACCCTGAGTATTATGGAGAGGTGTTTAGAATTTGTGTCTAGAGAACAACAGGACTCAGTAGGCGGTAATATCTCTCTTCCCCATAAGAAGATGACAAATGTCAAAATATCATTATAAACTTGAGCTAGCATGAATCAAAACAACTTTGATAGGATTAGCCATCTGTGGAACTCTTCCCGAAAATAACAAAGTCTCATCAGAGAGCCACCAATCTAAAATGTAATTATTCGAAGATGAGCTATAACTTAATTAATTGTAACCTTGCCTGCCTTATGGTAACATTGTAAAGGTTAATTCTTTTGCTGACAGAATGCTTAAGAAGAGAGCTGGGCAGTAAAGCATTTGTGTGCATTGATCAAAAGTGGCGTGAGAGGGACATTCCATTAGTTTGGGTGCATAGAGTTTTATAATCTAGTATGGAGCTGGAGTCAGTCTCCAATCTTTAAAAGAAGCTGGAGTTAAAAAAAAAAAAAAGGGAAAATCACTGTTGCAGTTATAATCCTTCATGAACATAAAACATGCTTAGACATGCAAATAATTTAATAATATTGTGCATTCTTTCTATGTGATATTATACTATATTGCCCTCAAGTGTTTAGTGTATTAAAATATTCATCCTAATTTTGGTACTTAACACAGAAAAAAATGCTGAGTTTAAATGTGGTGGTTTATTATGTGTAACATTTTATTTCTATGTTTTAGTTTCCATAGAGATTTAAGTAACTTATATTTGATGAGAAACATTTTGAAAGTAAAATACACTAATCAAATAAAAAGTGAACAATCAATTCACCTACACAAAAACCTTGATGTATATGTATATCAAAACATCAAGTTGTACACCTTAAGTATATACAATTTTTATTTGTCAATTATACCTTAATAAAGCTGGGGAAAAAAGATTGGAAAGAAACAAGAAAATCACCGTTAATTGTAAAAGAGCCCAGAAGCTGTCCAATTCTGTGCTTACCCAAACAACAGGGAGTATTTTAGAAGCTTCCTTTGTTGCAAATTTAAAGACCCCTCCTACTGCATCCTTTGAAGTGCCTAGCAGCATTTCCTGGTTGTGTGCTTTTTCACTTGTGTGTTACAGAAATTCACTTCTTTCCATGGTTATCTGAGAAACAGCACCCCCCATGGTGAAATTCCTTGATAATGATTGGCCTGCAAAAAAACACAGGGAAAAAAAAATCAAAGGAGATTTAAAAACCTAGGGCTGTTATTAGAAACATAAGGATATTTTGCTTCTGTGTTTTCTTTACTAGTTTACTATTTGTAAAGAACAGGTGAAAAAAACACTACTGTTTAATATTACAAATTATATAAGCTTTTCCTATGTATTAATTTATTTGATCCTCAAACAACAAACGTTGTGGGTGGTCAGAAAAGCATTACTATGACCATTCTATAAACATGGAAACAGACTTGTGGAGACAATGGGAGTTGGAACAACTAATATTATTTGTCTACCCGGCACTTCTAGTTGGTTTACTTTACGTATCATCTCATTTAATCATCACTATGCTCCTAGAGAGAGCTAATATTGTCAACTCCATTACACTGGTAAAAAGGCCCAAGAGGTTTTGACATTATCAAAATTAGGTAGCTGATAAGAGGTAGAACTGGCACTATCAACCAGAATCTAGACTCTGGTTCTCAGGTTCTTTCCTCAGTGCTGCCCTCTCTCTCCTTTCATACATGTGTGCCCCAGACAGGTCCCTGCCTCTGGCCTCTAACTCTGCTTAACTTGTACTAATATGCATCTCTTCCTGACTCTTGCCACCACTTTCTCCTGTTTCTTCAGCTCCATTCATTCCCAGTCGAGGGGGATGTACCACAGAGGAGGTGCAAGGAACCTAGACATTTGGGTGGCTTTCTTTCCCATTTCTTTAACTGTTTCTTGACCAGAGCAGTATTTCCAGCCATGAGGAACTTGACTTTTATGTTTCCATTGCAGTTTTCTCTATTTGGATATTTACAAAGCTTAGTTGTTTCATTTGTTTGCTTGTATTGCCTGTTTTCTGCACTAGAATATAAGCTTCAATTAGGGAAGCCTTATTCACCCTTGTGTTTCCAGACCCTGTTACTTTGGAACATTCAATATATACCTGTTGCATGGATGAATGAATGAATGAATGGCTTTTGGTGCTCAAATATAAATTTCTTTATAGTATTTTCATGTCAAGAATTGTGTAGTAGTTATAAGTAACTTTTCAGTTTGTATATCCTAACATATAACATACATCTTTGGGGGATTTTTCTGGGAATTTGGATTTTTATGCAAAGACTTATTTTCATTAGTCTGTATGATACACTAGGTGTATCAGTCTGTTTCTATTGCTTATAACAGAATACTTGGAACTGGGTGATTTATAAGAAAACAAAATTTATTGCTTACAGTTTCTGAGTCTGGGAAGTCCAAAGTCCAGGGAACACATCTGGTGAAGGCTTTCTTTGGTGATGACTTCAGTGATGGCAGGGTATCACACTGTGAAATGGTGGAGCAGAAGGAACCATAGCTCCTCGTGCACTCTCCTTTAAAGCCCTCAGAACCACGCCTGTGACCACCATTATTAATCCATTCACTAGTCATGGTCCTACAATCTAATCACCTCTTGAGGGCCCCACCTTTCAATTACCATAATAGGATTTCCCACCCTCAACAGTTACAGTGGAGATTAAGTTTTGGGGGGACATTCAACCCAAAGCACTAGGCTTTGTTTAAATATTGATCTTGGGATTTTCCTCAAGGTTCTCTCACTGGCTTTAGCTGTGTTATGCTTTTCTTAAAAATTCACATGTTAACAATACTCTTTTATTATGCTTTGTTTCTGTATAAAATCTTCATTTCAAATCTTCTTAGTCTATAATGTCCTGACCCAATTATTCTTCCCAAATTTGGAAATTATTATTTTAGATAAAAGACTGGACTTATCCTGAGTTGATTGCTTTTCTCTAACACCAAATGATTCAATACTTGCTTTGAAATTAATACTAATACTCAATTGAAATAATTTTGCTGCAATTAAGTATTACTTCTACTAATATTTCCCCTTAATCCCATGCTTACATTTATTCTTTCTTAATTTAAGGAGTGGTATTTAGCTAATTTTCATTTCATTTATGTACCTGTATAAGCTTATTTAACAAGAGTACGTGGAGAATGGTTTATTTTTCATAGGTAGTATGCATTCATATAGTCTAGGACATTGTTTTAGAACTATGGGTTCTGACTCAGTAACGTGTGATTTAGTTAGTAAAATGCAATGAGCATTATTTTAAAAATAGAACAGAAAAGATTAGAAAAGTCAGAATGCATTGCACCTACTGAAGAAAGGAAAGTGTTGTTATATATGCATATTTCTTACTGAGGGCCATGGTCTTAAAATGTTTGAAAGTCACTAATCATGATATGATAAGGCGTAGAAATCATAAATTATGAATTCAGCATTTTATGAGAATACCAAAATTCCATCTCTTTTCCCATTTTTTGGTTGTTTTAAGATACAAATAACCCTAGTTAATGAATATATGCATATGCGATGGGAACAGTCAGTTTATTAAATTTTAAAGAAATTTTAAACCAAAGAGTTTTCTCCCTTCAGGTGGAGTATAATGACGTATGAACTTAAATTGCCAACAAAGGCTTCTCTACTTCCCGGACCTCCAGAAGCATCTGAAGAATTTTATGTAAGAATTAACCCTTTACCTGTTTATCATTTGAAATAAGGGTGGATATCTTGAAAAAAAGAGAAAAGTTATTCATAAGATATGGTAGCATGTTTGCTTAATTTTATTTTTATTTTGAGGGGTATGGTCTCATTGACTACTTCTAGACTTCTCCCCCAGATAAAAGAATTCTGAAGATCTCAGAGTTCTTCTATGACCACCCACACTGGGTACACAGGCTACTGTTATGAGTATTAAATGATGTAACTAATGTATGCAAAGCACCAGGAGGCAAGGTCCCCTTAGTCTCCTGTTCCCACAGTTCTCTCTGATATTCTACCTGCCTGTTTCCTCATTACCAACAGAGCGCCAGGGAAGGCCAGCTGAGGACAGTTTTCTGTTAGCTTTTACTCATCTTCTGCATTGGCCATGAGCACCTATTTGATTATTAGGTGTTAGCCCAGCTCGTGTAAACAATCTGCAAACACAATCTCCAAATTATATAGTTTCTCTCTTTCTGCTGGGGCAGCAGGACCGGTCTCTGGGTTAAGCCTGTTGATATAGGTAAAACAAAGGCAGAAAGACAGATCACCTCATTCTGTCCCTGCTACAGACCACAGATGACTATAGTTTTTAGATGTTTTTAAAGATTTAGCATTCTGATTAAACCTCAAAGCTGTGGAGATTTAAAACAGAACCTTACTTTTCAAAAGATTATTCTCTGACTCATTAAGACCATTTGATCTCTGAGAGCTTATTTTTCCCTCTAGGAAAATTCATCTGTTTATTTTACAATTGAAATCTTTGTTTTGTCATTAAGAAAGTTATGATCTTCTGTAAATGAAGGCAAGGAATAATAACTAGAAACATGGGGCTGATCCTTAGAGAAGCTAATTGTAGTTTTAGAACTTTTTCTGATATAAAAGTAGCAAAAACTGCTTCTAAAATATTAGGAAAATACAAAATTATATGAAGAGTAAAAATCACTTACAGTTCTTCCACCTAGACATAATCACTATTGAAGATTAATATATTTGCTACTTTATTTCCAGCAGCATTTAGTTGTAATATTGTTCTATCTGACTATATATATTTTATAGAAACCAGTTGTATTAGTCCATTTCTGTTGCTTATAACAAAATACCCGGAACTGGGTAATTTATAAAGAAAACAAAATTTATTGTTACAGTTTTGGAGGCTGGGAAATCCAAAGTCCAGGGTACACATCTAGTGAGAGCTTTGTCTTGGTGGTAACTACAGTGACTCAGGGTATCACATGGTAAATATAACCGAGCAAAGAGAGAGAGAGAGAGAGAGATACTCTCATGTGTACTTTCTCCTTTGAAAGCCCTCAGAACCATGCCCATGACCACCATTATTAATCCATTCATTATGGCCTGGTCCTTACAATCTAATCACCTCTTCAAGGCCCCACCTTTGACTACGGGTAATAGGATTTCCCACCCTCTTCACCGTTACTGTGGGGAAAAAGCTCCTGCACCAGTCTTTTTTCTTAACAGCATTTTTGTAAAGTTATTTTCTTTCCAAAAAGACAAAAAGGGGAATCATTTTTCTACCTATGTCAGAAGTATCTATTTCCTAGCATGTAAAATAAAGGTAATTTACTTTATCACATATAAAATCCCTAAATATGAGTTACAATTTTAAGTATATGAAGGAAATCACTTTTTTTAGTGCAAAAGAGTTTTGAATGAAACTTTATTTTGTTAAACTTATTTTCATAACAAGATTACATAATAAGATTACAGATTAAATGAATGCTCTGAATGGCCCTGACCAAGCCCTCTGGCTGACACCAGGAATGCACTTTACTGTGTATGACTCTTTACCTTGAAAATTGCAATAAAAGTAAGCTGAACTTTCCTTCTTAGGTTGTCTGCTCTTCATTAGCTATGCATCTTAAACAAATCACTCAACTCACCTAAGCCTCAGGGTCCTTGGCTGTGAAACAGGACAATTAAAGGGGGTAAATATATACAAACTGTTTAATCACAGTGTCTGATACACAATAAAAAATGTTAACTCTTATTATTACTTACCTTCCTGACCCTGCTAAGTGACTACATAATAGGTGACATCTATAATTTTATCCTTGGACATGGAGGTTATTTTATTGTCCTCTGAAAGAGGTTGTATTTTTTGTCTGAATATTTTTAATGGACAAACACTTGGATTTTTAAAAGTAAGTTGCAAATAGCACTAGTCAAATGCCATTTGATTAATTAATTTATTAATTAATGGAATTAATAGTCATTGAAAATATTTTCTACACTGCAGAAAAGAGAAATAAACTTAATATTTGAAAAACATTTCCTTTTTTGTATTTTTAGAAGACATGTTTTCATTTTTCTGACCTTAACTGTGAATATGCAGTTTTTAGTGTTTAAGCCAGGAGATCAATAAAAGTGGATTTGTGGGACAATACAATATTGTATGTAACTTTGGAGTTCCTGTCCTCCCCTCCTTTTTTTTTGGTGTAATATTGCTTTTCCTTATGTGATCTGCCTTTGAGGGAAGTAAGATAGAAATTTAAAAAAGTAACATACTAGCCACTGGTGGACTTAATGTAAATTGCGAATGAGATTCCTTTGGGAAGCAGCTAGTCAGGAAGGCTTTTTGTGGAGAGGGACATTAGTTGAATCTTCAATTAAGTTTGAGTAATCTGATACTGATTGGTTAAAAGCAATGAAAATATACCTGAGTCAGGCAGAAGAGCATAGAAGGCCAGCTTGAATAGAGTGGATCATTTATGCTGGAAAATTTTGAGCTGTGTGACATGGAATATGTATTGAAGGCAAACATTTGATGGAAGTCTCTGAATATAACACTATTTAAATATTGTGCACATGTTTACATATTAGGAAGATGTGTTCTTTCAACAGGATGTTAAAATTTGAGTCAAATTGAAGAGGACACTTGGCATTTTGATTACTTCATTATTTAAGAGAAATATTTATTTATGTGATTGTATGGCAGCATATTCAGCATTTTAAAAGAATATAATATACATGCAGGACAGCATTCACATACCCCATAATTCCCCCTCATGCCACTTTTCAGTCACCACCCCTCACCTTCACCCCAATAGCCACTATCCTGACTTCTAACAGCATAGATTAGTTTGGTCTGTTTTTTGCTTTATGAAAGATAATCGTTTTTTATGCTCTCTTCTGTGTCTGGATCCTTTCACTCACCATCATGTTTGTTAGATTCATCTATATTGTGGTATAGTTGTCATGTCATTCATTCATCTATATTGTGGTATAGTTATCATTCATTCTCATTGTCTTATTGTATTTCACTGCCCAAATTGTACTGTAATTTGTTATCCATTCTATTGAATGAATGCTGCTGTGAACATTCTAGTACATGTCTTTTAATGAACATACGTCTGCATTTTGTTTGGGTATATATGTAGAAGGTGAATTTCTGGGTCCTGTGGTATTAATGCATATGTTCAGCTTTAATAGATACTACAAATGGTTTTCTAGCGTGCTGTACCACCGGCAGTGTATGAGAGTTGTGTAGTTCCACGGCCTTGTTGACTTGGTATTTTCCTTTGGTGGTTGTTTTCATTTTAGCCTTTCTGTCAGGTGTACACAGAGTGGTACCAGGTTTTCTAGCGTGCTGTACCACCGGCAGTGTATGAGAGTTGTGTAGTTCCACGGCCTTGTTGACTTGGCATTTTCCTTTGGTGGTTGTTTTCATTTTAGCCTTTCTGTCAGGTGTACACAGAGTGGTACCACATTGCATTGTAGTTTTAGTTTGCATTTGCCTGATGGCCGATGAGGCTGAACACCTTTTCTTCTATTTATGGACCATTTGGATATTTTCATATTCAAATGTCTAGTCTTTTGCCCATTTTTTATTAGATTGTCTGGCTTTTATTGTGCTAATTTGTAGGAATTCTTTTTATATTCAAGTAGATAACATTCTTTAATTTTTTAAAACGGGGTTTAATGGATTTTTCTAAGAGTATAAATTAAAGGATTTCAGAAATTGAAAGCCTTTCACAGAAGGGAAATATTTTTCTATTTTGCATAATGACTCATATTTCGTTATAGCCAATGCCGTCTCACATGTCATGAATGGGTCCATATCTGAAGCAGTAACAACCAAGTTGTATAAATGCCAACAACAATAATACAGTGTAGGTTTTTTTCTTTTTTCAGATGACAATTTATGAAGACTCAGTTGCAAATCATCTTACAAAAATCCTCAATTCTGATGAACACGCAGTGGTCATATCATCTGCCCAGTGAGTTGTGGAGTTTAAGTCATGAAATAGTTACATGGTGAAAATGATGAGAAATCTGGTTCCTACATTTACATCATTTCTTTGTGATTTTTCTTTTTAAAAAGCATCTCTTAAGTAGCTCATGGAATTAGATATAGTAAATTTGAATTGATTTTTAAAAATCACATTAGCATCTTATTTGCAGTATTTAGAGGTTATATTATATGATGCTTTATTTGGAAGATTTTTGTCAAAAAAGTAATGTGTGTAGAGTTTAATGAACCTAAACGTCTATTTAAGGAAGTATTTATGGTTAATTATAATATGGAGAACACATTTCATAATAATTCCCTATTTCCATAAACACTATTTAGGAACTGTTCACATCAGTAAAAGGAAAATAATGATGAGAAATTTCAAAATGACATTTCTCAGCGTGTTTAAATTGCATAATTATATTTTAATTCAAAGTTATCAGATTTTGTTAAGTTGATTTTGTACATGGAGACAAAGCAACTTGATGTTATTATCCCAAATGTTGCCTGACTGGAATTTAGAATTTAGTTTTGAAGCATCCTATGCTGATGTCGTGAGAACTGGAAAGTCAACCAGAGGAAAGAGGTGAAACCAACTGAAATTTTCAATGGATAAGCAAAAGAATGCTTTAAGATTATGGCTTTGCAGGCAAATATTACTACTTTGTAGAAAGGGGAGAAAAAGAAGGAATGAAAGGGAATGGGAAAGGAAAAGTGGTGAAGGAAAAAATACGCAAATTTCAGTATATTATGTACTTAATTTGCAATGAAGTGGAGAAAAGACAAAATAAATCACTATAAACAGATTTGCTTGTGACACCAGTACAAATGTAGTAACAATTGCTTTTAATGACATACCCACTCCCAGGAATAGGAAATAGGACTGAACAATAGGAAAAAAGTTCAAAGGCTTCGGGCAAGGGAAGAACACTGGTTGGCCCAGGCAGAGGGGGGCTACAGTCTCTCTTTGTTGGGCAGTGCTGCTGTTTGGTTTATGTTTGTTTTGTTTGGCTGATTTTTTAAATGAATTCTATTGCTTTATGCTGAAATGGACAAATCTCCTCTTTGTCCCGGGCCTCAGCACTCCCTGTCGTCTTTCTCATCCCGGGCCTAATTCATACACCTGTAATTACCTTCCTCGACCCCGTAGACATTTGAGTTTGCTATCCCTACCCTGTGAATCAATTGTGTCTTTATAGGACATTTCAGAGGACATTGCTAGAAAAGATGGAAAGTTGAAATGGAAGCTTTTGAATGGTGTAACAAGTTATAAAAATAATTATTCTTTGTTTAGTATAATTAAGTAAATATTTTATCTGGCCACATTTTGGATGATAGCAAAGCCTTTATATTGACTTTCATGTGTCTGATGTTTTGATCACTGCCTCCTATATATTTTATATATTTTTAATTAAATGGAATTCATGTTATAAATTTGGACAGATGCAAACAACCACTCTTCTGTCACTATTGTTCTTAATCTTAATACTTGTGTAGTATAACATTTTTAGCAGTGGAAACCTTTTTTCAAAGAAAATCTTACACACAATCCCAATATTTAAAAAACTCAAGCTTTGTTTTGTTGATGTTTATAAATTGTATAGGATTGAGTTATTAAAGTCATTTATGAGAAAAATTAAGTGATAAAGTTATAGATATCAGTTGTAGTCTTATTTTGATGGAGTTTCCAATTATTTCTGTATTTTATTTTGGTTACATGATTGTAAGGAAATTGTCTTTAATTAAATGAAAATTAGCCAAAGTTGCTTTAATCCAACATTTACACAAAACTAGTGAATTCTGAAGTAAAACTTAATATATGTCTTTAATGTTTCTAATGATAATTTGAGCATTTAAAAATTATATTCTGGGGCCGGCCCGGTGGCGCACTGGATAAGTGCGCCGCTTGGGAAGCGCGGCGGCGCTCCCGCCCAAGGGTTCGGATCCCACATGCAGACCGGTTCCCGCTCACTGGCTGAGCGAGGCGCGGGAGCGACACCGAGGGTTGCAATCCCGTTGCCGGTCCCCGGTCCGGTACGGGGGCAACACTGAGGGTTGCGATCCGTTGCCAGACACGGAAAAAGACAAAAAAAAAAATTATATTCTGTATTTCTGAATGTAATTTGAATCAAGCATTTGTGGGATCTTTGGAGTATTTCTGGAGAACAGTTTGAAAACTACTGGTGTAAGCCACAGTGTTGGACTAAGTTGGAGTCCATCTGGGGTCCTAGTTGAGACTGAACCGTTTGCTAGCTTTGTGATCTATGTCTGTTTTGTAAAAATTGAAAGAATGCCTATTATTCCTCCCTCACGGAACTGTTCGGAGAATTAAGCTGAGTGATAAAATAGAGAGCTTATAAACTACAGAATGCTATATTAAATTATGATATCATCACCTCATGTTTTACCCAATTACAGTTCAAATTATTCCTTTGACCTTGGTCTGGCTCCTTCTCTAAGGCTCTGCTCTTGGCCCTCGCTTTGAGTTTCTCCCCAACTAGCTCACTTGCCTTTAAGCAGATTCTGTTGCAAGACTGGATCCCTTTTGTCACTTATCTGTACTTCCAGGCCTGCCCAGGAGCCTGGACTTTACAGCCTCTGATTATAATTCTAGGAGATTTGCCATAAAGAGTTTCAAAAGAGAAATGAGAGGACAGTATGTAATAACTTTATACCAGTAATACAATATATTTTTAATTTTCTCTTTTCTGGGCATTTTCAAACATACATTAAGGTACAAAGACTGGTATAATGATTTCCTCCCATAACCGTTGCTCAGCTTCAGTATTTTTCAACATTTTGCCATCTACTACCTATTTTATTTTGCTACAGTATCCATGCAAATCTTATAAATTGTTTTATTTATTGCTATATATGTATAGCTAGATCATAAACTTTTTAAAAAACATAATAAATTTAATAATATTCTCTAATACCATCATTATTACTCAATCCATATCCCATTTCCCCCAGTTATTGTGAAATTATTTTGTTTTTCAAACAGTTGATTTGTCCAAATCAAAATCCAAACAAGGTTCATTAATTGGCTCTTTAAGACTTTAAAATCTGTAATGGCTTCCCCTGCTTTTTAAAAAAGTTTCTTATTGAGGCATAACAAGTATACAGTAAAGTATCCAAAGCACAAGGGTGCAACTCGATTAAAAAAAATGCTACATACACACTCATACACACACCCTTGTAATCACCAGCTGAATGAAATAAAGAACTCCCTTCTTTTGTTAATATCATTTATTTGTTGAATAATATTTGTTGATATCATTTATTTGTTGAACACAGTATTAAGGCAAAATGTTTTAACTCTCTTGTGAATGTTTATATTTATTTCATACAATAATAATTCCCAGTAGCCTGTTTCCAACTATTTTTTAAATGTTGAAATGCTAATGGAAAGCTGTATTTCATTAGCATAGCTAATATGTAAGTTAACTAATGTAGTTAATGTAGGTTATCCTAAAACATCATTTCTTTGACTTTGGCTGGAATTTTGTCAGTTTGGTATTGTAGCAGGTGTTATCTTCTGAGAATCACAAGCTCTAATAAATGGTAATGATAGATACTGTTTATTAATAAAAATTAAAAACAAGTTATTAAATAAGCTGTCTTTACCTGAAATGTATGTCTCTACTTTTATTTAGCCAGTTGTTTATAAAATTTACTGGCATTAACAGCAGGAGTTAATTAGGTTTTTACTTGCCCACTCTGCTCACCCCCAACTTTTAAAATAAGTACAATTTGTTCTGTATACAAAACTTCCAGAAAATGGGATAGCTGGCAGGTGAAAAGTGTAAGATTGGAGCCATTGTCATAAAAACATAGAATTTAGATTTGGAATCTACTTTCGAGGTAATTCAGGCAACCCCCTCATTTAATTGATGAAGTGAGGTATATGGTTATTAAAAATCTTTCCTCAGAGCACATAGATAGTTAGGGATTTTTGTATATTATGCATTGGTATTTCTAAGTCATCTTTGATTTCTAACTGGGACTTTTTCTATTTTATGAAAAAATGAATTTTTCAGGTATGCCAATCTCTGATTCTGTTTGGGCACCATTGCCATATTTATCTTAATATAGTGTTTGCATATTTTATTGTCACTTGTGTTTATTTAAAAGAAAATAAGAAGAAAGCTGATAAATTCAGGCACAAATACTACAGTAGCGCTAAAAAGTATAGATCTCATAAATACAGTTGAGGCCATGGTGGAAAGCATCAAGCATGTCAAATGTGAACTGTCATTAGCATCTACTGAATATTTGGTGCACATGGTTGGCTGTGTTCAACTTGGAAGGATAAGAACAAAATTAAAGAAATAAAGTGTTGGGAATATATCCTCAAAATCTAACACTAATTAAAGATGTAATTAGGGATTTAAAATTTTTTTAACTTTCTGGGAAAACCCATGTTCCACTTTCATTTATTTGGTTTTTGCACATGTTTTCTAGAAGTCTTTATGTATTAAAGTAGGAAACTGTACAGTTGGAGAAAGTCTTTTGTGTTACTATAGTAAGTACATCTTAAAATTGTTTTGCTCCAATCTGCAAGTTCCCAGGTGGTGTGACTTTGAAATCATACTATTTTTTTTTTCCTTTTTGTCTTTTTTCGTGTCCGGCAACGGATCGCAACCCTCAGTGTCGCACCTGTACCGGACCGGGACCGGCAACGGGATCGCAACCCTCGGTGTCGCGCCCGCACCTCGCTCAGCCAGTGAGCGGGAACCGGTCTGTATGTGGGATCCGAGCCCTCGGCGGGAGCGCCGCCGCGCTCCCCACTCGCGCCCCCTCGGACGGCGCCCC